CTAAGCACTAATTCCTCAATTGGATTGATGGCAAATTGTTCAAGCTGATCTGATATTAGCATAGGGAGCTGAGAGGTTTTGTTGGTACGAATGTTGGGAATATTGATTTTTGCTGTAATATTGGTTCGTCTTCGAGAAGATGAAGATGAGTTAGCATTAGTACAAGACGATCTCAAGAAACTTGAAGCTTGAAGAGTTGCCATATATTTAATTTCTCTAAATCTTTTGATATATGTAAAAGAATGATTAATTGGCTAGGCTTGAAAAATTGGAGGAAAAAAAAATGAATGTAGCAGTTGTTTATATGTTTTGTTATTATGCTAAAAGAGGGGTAAGAGATGACATTTATATAAGGGAAGTTGGTGCATGAGAAGAAATAGTACTAGTATTATAGTTTTGTTTTTTAGTAGTTGAATTGAATGGGTAATTTAATTTGGCGCAGTCACAATATTTGATATTTGCCTTTGTTGTCAAGTATAATAGGCTGCTTTGACATTGACTTTCAACAAAAAACTTTTATAGGGTATGAATTTTGAAATGGCCAAACCCTGGATTTTTATTTACTTGGAAACATTATTCTCTACTAAGATAATATATTCAACACCAATAAAAGGAAAGAAATATTGCTTTTTATGTGTATATAGAATATGCTTAGGGCTCATGTGGATTTATAACATTTACATGTTGAAGCTATTAAAAATAAACCACATTTCCTCTTCATCATATAATTTTCATGAATTTGTTTTCTAACAAAAAGTATTTATCTATTTTAATTTTTTATCATATAGTAATCATAATAACAACAACAACAACAACTCGGTGAAATTCCACAAATAAGTTCTGGGAAGGGTGATACGTACGTACACCTTATCTCTACCTTGTAAAGATAGAGAGATCAATTTCAAAACAAATATTGAAAATCCCACATTATGTCAAATAAATACAAAACAATGTTGAAAAATTCATTTTAATACTAACAAGATGTATATATGAGATGTTGAGAATATTGATTTGGGATGTAACTTGTGAGGACCATATTTGTCAATATTAATATGTCAAATATTATTAAAAAGCTTATAATTGATTCTCAAAGTGTCAAAGGCTGACCTGACTATTTGAATACATATTTTATAGAGACAACATTCGCGAAAAAAATCAGTTTCTTTGACTTCTTTGGTAAACTGTAATAATAGATGTTAACCGTGGTACTTGTAATGTCATTTGTCATTACAAACATTTTTTATCGAATATTTATACTTAGTCCATAAATATATGTGTTAAACATATATAACTACCAATTGATCCTGATTAATTAATATGTATTTTTATTTTATTGAATTAACTAATTATAATATTTTAATTAATTTGATATAAACACATTGTGAGGATAAATATTTATCCTACTAATAAACTATCATACTACATTATTTTCTCATATTCAAAGCTAACGCACCCATGACCCATGGTGGTCTCTATTGTAATACTTCAGCCTCCATGATTGATGATATCAAAGGGAGGTGGCAATACATCATTTCTCACCATACAAAAATAAGGAAAAAAGGATAAAAAATGCTCTTAAACTAAGTAAAATGAATAAAAATGTTCTTTATTTATAGTTTGGTTAGAATATGCTTTTGCCGTTAATATTTTAGTTCAAAAACGTTTTTACTATTAATACTTTGGTCCAGAAATATCTCTATAGTTACTAAAGGGTCAAAAATATTCTTTTCAGAATATATATATATATATATATATATATATATATATATATATATATATATATATTATTTATTTTCTTTTTAAACACATCTTCTTCCAAATTAAAATATTACTAAGAGCCCTATTCTTGTTTTCTTTCTTTTAAAATTACTTTAACAAAAAAAATGTAGGAAATAATTTTTTTCTTCTTAATCTCATTTTATCAATTAAAATAGAATAACTTTACCCTTTCGATAATATATGTCATATATATAAGAATATATTATATCCATCATTAATTTTATTCATATAACGATAAAAATAATTATAATAAAATAATTTATTTTTTTGAATTGAAGTATGATAAATATTTGCTGATTATAAAAATATTATTAAAAAAGAATGTGTTAAAAAGAAAATAAATGATATGTTTATTTAGAAAATTAACATTTTTGATCCATTAAATAACAATAAGGTCATTTTTTGACCAAAATATTGACGGCGTGGACATTTTTGAACCAAACCATAAACGGAGGACATTTTTATTCATTTCACATAATTAAAAAGGCATTTTTTACCCTTTTCATTCACTTTTTGTAGTTTCATGCTCTTAATTCTGGCATATTTTAATATAAAAGTTCGATTACTGATACTATTATAAGACTATAAAGGGTTAAAGAACCCATTGCTTAATTGGAACTACATTCATACTATTGGAGGATCGATTTTTTTATAGTACAATATTTACCTTCATATTAAACTCATTGGCTTTAATAAAGATCAACATATATAATCTTAGGAATTTATTATACTAACGTATCGTAATTATTTAAATTTAAGAGTTAAATAAACATATAAGTTGCATATATTTATTTTCAAAATTTAAGCTTTACGTACGTAATATGCGATGAGAAGTATAATTAATCAATTCCATTTTGTTATTTTATCTTTTTCACTTTAATCATATATTTTTTAAATATGACTGGGCATAACACGAAGGAAGTTGCAATTAATTATATCAATGCTAACAAAAAACATGAAAAGTGACGGTACGAATAGAAATCCAGTACTCCTGCTTTAGAGAATAATGGAGAACTTCCGTCGATAAAAGTCTATTTTTCTGTCCCTAAAAGTATGCATCGATTAGCAACTTTTAAAATATCTTTTTGACCCTCGAAACTTATCAGGGATCCTATAAACACAAATCAATAGTGAAAATTCTTCATAAAACATGTTTCGAAATCAATGAAAACGTTGGATTTCAAAAAAAGATTGTTATGACCAAAATACCCCTCGAAACCCATTTAGACCAAGAATTCAATTTTTTACCTAAATATTCAAATCACGATCTAAGATTTTGGGACTCTAACTTGTTAAAGTAAAAAGTCTCACATTGATGGTTAATGAGATGAATGGACTCCTTATAAGGCTTGGACAATCCTCCTCTTTTTGAGCTAGCTTTTGGGGGTGTGAGTTAGGGTAAAACTTAATTTCACATGGTATCAGAGCAGAGTCTTAATTCTTATAAAGTGGGGGTGTGGGGAAGGGGGACTGTTACTAATTCATGAGGTATACACTTATTCTCCAATAAAAATAGTTGCAAATTCAAGCTTATCCATTGATAGCTTAAAGAATATTTACACACAATTTGGTTACCGACTTACTGGGTACGGCTAGCCGTATGGGTATTTGCAGGTGATAATAATAACCTTATACAATTTGAAGGTGATAACCTAGTTGAACCAGTATAATACTTTTTTAACGGTTTAAGATGAGAAATTATTTAAATTAAGAAATATTGTCATTTTTACTGGAGGGGTATTATACTACTCCCTATATACTACCACAGTGGCGGATCCAGGATTTAGAGTCCGTAGGTGCCAAATAGACTTATCGATTAAATTAATTTTATATTTGATTAAATTATTTTTCTTTTCGATATATATCATAAATCAATCAATAAAATGTAAATAATAAGATATTGCACTTTTATTGAGTATTTAATCAAATAAAAGAAAAGTCAAAGGAGTAATAATGTAATTAATTTAATTTAAGTCAATAACAATTATAAAAAAATAAAAATAAAAATTGTGCTAGCTGTTTTTCCTTAAAAAAACGTGCTTGGAGCCTTTTTTTTTTTTTTCTTAAAAAACGTCTGCATCAAATTTCTCAAAAAAATAGGTACAAATGGGATTCGAACCGGCAACATCAACCTTCTAAAATTGCCCTCCTACCATGGCACCACAAGATAGTTTTGTTTTGTGGGTGACACGCTTTATATTTATATAAATATTATATATATATACCTATGTATATATAGAGTTTCCGTCGAAGTTCGGGGGTGGCGTGGCACCCCCAAACCTCTGCATAGATCCACCACTGACTACCCAACCAACCACTACAGTCTACACCTTGACGACTAAAGCATGAGCTCATGATACGCATTGTTGGTATATTTATAGTACAAAAGTGTGCATATCATGTGAACTTGTATTATGACTTACAAACTACAATATGCCTCATAAAGATCTCCACGATGTGAGATTGACCTAAGGTATTATGAGCACCCTTTCTTCAGAAATTTGTCAGTGTAAAAGCATGTTGTCATTCCTTTGGCCCGTCCTCGTCAGCCCGCTCTTCTTCAAATATTTGTCAGACTAGAAGCATGTCTGCCGTTTTCTTTGGTTTGACCCGCTTTCTTGAGCCCTCCTCCTTCCCCATCTTCCAAAGTTAATTATCAACGTGAAAGTCTATCAGTCATTCTCTTTAACCCGCCCGCCTCTGTTAGAGAGGTCACAGTTTTACAACTCCCTTTAAGTTTAAAACTCAAGTCGATCACACGCTCACTTTTTTATTATTCAAAGTTTCGAATTTAGTCTTCTATTGATCACTACTTAAACACACATGATCTCAGGTTTTGTTTTGGTTCACTTATTATCAAATGCATAATTAAAGCTTGAATTCAAGAAAGCAGTTGAACTAAAGAGATGATTCATTTCTCATGGAGCCAAGAAATAAGAAAAAACATCAAACGATTTAAAGCTTGCAAGATTGCCTGAGAAACTGTTATAAGCAATCAATATTTGAATCGAAAGAATGAGTCAAAAATTGAAAGACAATAAATGATCAAGTAATTCATTTCTTGTATAGAGTCAAAAAAAATAATTAAGAATCAAACAAGCTTGCCATTTACTGTGCAACTTGTAAGATGGTCTTACAAAGAATGAGTTAGTCCTATTTGCATAAACATTAATATGTACTACTGCATTTTGCCAATGCATTATACACTAAGCAGTTAAAACTTAGAAAAGCTTGCTCCCAAATTCGTCGATTTCTTCTCCCTTTGATAAAGAAGCAGCAGCAAGATTTCTTAGATCTGATAAGCTCCTTCCTAATTTCAAAGCCAGCTTCAATTCAAACACCTCACCATTTTCTCTTCTCTCCATTTCTGCTTCTGTCAAGTTTGATTCAATAGATTCTTGCATGTACTGGAAGAAACCGGCGTTGCTCCTATACATTTCAAATACCATTCCAACTTGTCCACCATGCTCTACTGTGTTAACTACACTTGCCAAAGCGCCACCAACAATTCCAAGCATGGCTGCCCATGATCCATGAGGAGAATGATCTGCAAATGCAGAGCCAACTGCTGCTAAGCCCGTGAGCAATGGACCGGACATGGCTAAAAACTTGTTGAATTTCAATGCCTTCTCCCCCAGCCTAATATATTCTTCTTGGTCTTTTCTGCCTAATACTCCCATTATTTCCTTCATTTCCTCCTCCAGTTTACCATTCCATCCATTCCAATTGTCATTGACCCTTTTAGGCTGCCTTCGACGTTGTTGAGGCCACCAAACAGCAGGTTCAACAGAAGATGGAAATTTCTCTAGCATTCCGCCTAGAAGAGGTAATGGATAAGCCTTGTCAAGAGCCAATACTCTGTCCATAGCTTCTTTCACATCAATACTCAAAGGGTGACCGATTGATAAAGTTGTTTCGATTTGGTTATATAGAGCCTGAAACAACCTAGCTGCATTTCTTTGTTCTTCAGCCAATTGGGATGGCTGAATTTGGTTCATGGCCACCAACATACCAGTAGCAGCCAAATACATCAAAGAGGATGACATTTTTAGTCCCAAAACAGAATCACCACTACTACTAGCTGCAATTCCAACCATCGTAGCAGCAGCAAGAGTAATCCCATTAATTGATGTCAAAAGCATACTGCTCCATTGACTCCTCTGTTCCCCAATATTCCTATGCATCTCCACTCTATCCGCAATTGCCTCCTTAATCGCATAAAGCTTCTCGATCACCAGAGGATCACTTCTTCTTGAAGGGCTAATTTGTTTCCCAACTGGGCTACCACTAGTTGAGAACACACTAATCAACTCTTGTTCCTGTGCTAATCTAGCTCTTTTTTGAAGCCTAGGAAGGGAGATTTTATATGTCTGATTATTCGGGGTATTAATATTCGCTCTAATAAATCCCTTTCTACATGATGTTGATGAATTCAAGAAATTTGACGATTGTAGAACGATTGTCATCGTATTTGTTACTTCAATTGATATTAGTTGATTGAAAAACAAAGAGGAGAAAACCCAAAGTTGAGTTTTTGATTTATGATTATTATGATATAAAAACACAGGACATGGGACGTATATATAGATTATTATAGGGATAGTAGTTAACAGAAATAAGATTGATTTGACTGGAGGGGCAATAATAGTATGTTACGTTATTCAAAGTTTGAATTGAATGGGTATAATATGGCCAAGAAGACTATTTCTTATTTTGGCTACTAGGCCTGATTGTACTTACTCTTATTGACTTTCAATATAGCAAAATTATATAATTAAGACCCTTGATCAACTCTTAATCCGTGTATCCAATTAGGTATTTCATGGGTGATGATACTTGGTATAAATATAATTAAGAGTGAACCACATTAATTTCGTCAAATTAAGAATTATTCTTGTTAATAAAAAAATTATATAAGTGGATTCACTTTATTAACCAATCAGTTGCAAATAGCAATATAATAATAAATAGATGAGAAAAAAAAATACAATTTACAATCATTTAGTTGTTACATTTATTTTGAGCAAACATGTAAATTTTTTTTTATGCTACTGATATTTAAACCAAATTAATTATGTGGCATATATGTGTACATAGATCTCTTTAACACCTAATCATGATTCGTTAACATCTATCATTACTTAATTTAATTAATTATAATAATTTTTGTATAATTTGATACAAAAAAATCCAATGCTAACAAGTATTTAATTATCCACCAGATATTAGCTATCTGTTCTCGATAAAATCCATCATGCTTTTTTATTTTTATTTTCCCTTGGCACAATCAAATTATTACACCAACCTGAGTTGCAAAATGATGAGAATTAGCCATACTGAATTAGCACACCATGTAGGAAGGAGTACGTGTTAACAAACCCCTTGTGTTGTTTTTTTGGCTTAATACATAGTCGTTCTCCTAAATTTGTCAAGATATTTTATTTAGAGATTTGAATTAAGTTTTGTTCCATTTTGCGTGTTATCATTCGTCTAATGAGTTGGTTTTCATGTGTTCAAATTGCACATAAACTTTTGCGTGTGTTTTCATTAGTCTATTGTATAGTTAAGTTAACCACATAAAATATGTCATCTCCTTTAATTATGTGCATCAACCTCATATAGAAATTTTACTATTTATTGAGGTGAATATATATAATTAAAAGAAATGACATATTTTATATGATTAATTTTAATGAGAACACATGAAAAAAATTCCAAAAACATGAACCAAAAGATGTATTGAAACACGGAGTAGCTGTTTTTTCTTTCAAATCACGTGGATTTTAATTAGGCAAATTTTTTGCATACTGTAGTTTCACAAATTGAAATAAATCCAAATTTGGACATATAATATGAGTACTTGTCGATTCAAATTTCAAGGGATATGAATATATAATAAGACTGTCAAATATACTCAACTATATTTCAAATATCAGAAAATTCTTATACCAGCCAGCCACTGTTGAAATACTAAAGCTCATCAGTTTTTACTTTACTAAAAGTTGTTTTATGTGTATATACCTCATGTTCAGCTCTATACTAGTGTACCGTGTTGACCTTTTACTACCTGAGCTAAAATTCTAGCTCAATGCACATACTTGTTTTTCCAACAAATCTAGATTCACATGTTAAATTTTCTTCATTTCATTGTATTTGTGGTAAGTACTATTTATCTCTCCCTCAAATGTCTAACCTATTAATTCGAACACTAAAATGTAAATTTAGGGTTGGGGGTGGGGAACAGTGTATGTAAATGATATTCCCTTTTTTTCTGAAATGACAAATAATTTGAAAGGTTTAATTGACCAAAAACAATACCTATTATCAAATTGCTTATGTTGAAAAGTAGTTTGAGAAATTCTCATGTTTACATTCCAAAATAGTGTCTGAGAAAATTTAGAAAAGCGCACTTAGATGGTGTACTAGGCAATGATGAATAACACCAACCATCCAGGACTTGGTATACAGATAGCAGCAACTCAGTTTCAATTTGGTCAAATGCCAAAATAATATGGCTACATTAACAATGTTGAATTGTGAAACATAATTCACTGTCATCTCTTGCCACAATCTTGCTTTTTTGAGTCACATTTGAAGGGCGTTACTTTTTTCGAACTGACAACTTTTCACATTACCATGTGTGCAACATTCTGCCTAGCACTTGATCGATGACACAGGACAATTACAACCAATTTATTACTAAATGAGCTTTGTCTTGGTTATGAGGGATCAGCGAAAACATGAAAATCAAAACAAAATAAGCAATTCCAAGCTACCATTTTCAATTCAACTAACACAAGGAGATGTTGCCATGTTCATGAATCAACTTTGAGGATTTCAAGCTTTTTTCAAAACCATCGACCTTGCACGTAGATTCAAAAATATTCCCCTACAAATCGATAAAAGAACATAGAGCATTAACAACATTACAACACTGTGAAATCATAGAGATGGAACATGTTTGAAAGTAGCAGAAACAGTAACAAGAAGGGAACTGCAGTGCATACCAGCAACATGCAATAATGCTGTGAAAGATTACTCTTAATTGCAGAGGAACATACAAGTGATTTACCCACCCAACGACTGGCCAAAACTGCACATTTATAAACAATAATTAGAATTATCATTCACTGTAGAATAGAACAAAAAACATTGGATTTGGGAGAGGGCAAATTTGACTAACCGCCCATGCTGTATACTGCACTTTTGGATATTCTCTCTTGATATTAGATTTCACCTGGATCCAGGGTCTCTCTGTGCAAAATACATAATAATATTAAATATTCAGTAAGATTTGTTGTTCTGTGTGTACATAATCATACCTCTAGCTAATGGAAGGTAAACAAACTTAAGCTCCCTTTCAGCAGCTTTCAAAAACTTGTACTAAATATGGCTCGACGAAGGAGAAGAAATATGTAAGGAAATGAGAAACTCATGGTTTTATTTCTTTTTATAGAGCATCCATCATCTCTTTTAATTGTTTCTAGGATAGGATGGAAGGTAAAAAGGATATATATCCTCCTTTCACTAGTTTATGGAAGAGTGTTACAACTTCTTCAGTCCCTCTTTCAGAGGGTTCAAAAGCTCCTCTATTACTTTGTCAGTAAAAAAGTGTAGAAAACCCCATATCGCTTTTCTTTTTAAACATCCTCTGCTCACACCGTCTCTCTTTTTACCCCAGCCAAACATAATATAAATATTTATTTGAATAAAACACTCATTGAAGTAAAGTAGAGATTGTTTTCAGTAATCTACTCATTTTGAGGATATTTCCCACAAGGTCCTAAGGGAAAAAGAAGAAAAATGGGAAATAATTACGCAAAATTTTCGTTAAACTAGAAACATAAACAAAGGATTTGAGGCTCTCACATGGCAAAAACTAAGTACCTTATCAAGCTTTGTACAATTGTAAGGGTTTAAAGAGATAAACTGTTTGAACGTGCAAATTGAATAATTTTCGTAACAAAACAATGTGTTTCTGTAGATGAAATGCTTTTGCTAAAATTGAATTCAAAAGATGGCCAGAAAACAATAGTTTTTAACCTTTTGTTTCCCTTTTTTCTTTTTGCCACATGAATAAAATGTTTGTTGCTGTTGTAACTCTTTTAAATTGAAGGTTATGTCTATAATTAGTCCCTTTGAGTTCTTAGATAACAATCCTAATTTGATTGCTTAAGGTTTAGTTGTAGAACGTGATGTTGAGTTTTGGTGTGATGGTATACCACGCAATAGTTTATATGTCAGAATGTTAAAAGGCAGTGGTAACTCAAAAGAAAAACTCACTTTCAATAACTAATCCATAGTAAACCATAAAAAGCAAGTTATTCCAGGGTGACGAAGTAATTTGTTCCAGCAACACCTGAAATAATCAAAGTGCAAGTTCACATTCTTGTATATTTATCAGCTCATTGTTTATTTACTTATTTACTTCTTCATCTGGTAACATTATTTAGCAAAACGATAAACAAGTGAAACTTTCAAGTAGGCAAGTGTAGCAATTTACCAGGTCATGAGTATACAGTCAAGCAGTTCTATTGATATAGATCCACGTACGAGGTAGATCAGATCCATAAAGAACAAGGTAATGTGTAACATCCATGTACAAGATACCATATCCTATTTTTGTGAAACATACAAAATCATCCAAAGAAGAGAGGGTTTAGTACCTTTTTGGCAACTGTACTCTTGTCTCTCTTCCCCTTGAAAAGTTTGTCCAGTAATAAGTGAAGAAAATGTCCAAATGGTCCAAGATAGGCAACACCAAAAAGCTGCATGTAGTTACAGGCAAAGCAGATGATGACATCCCAAATACCAACTTATTCGCAAAGTAGATGAATATGAAACAAATGATACCAAATGAATCAAATGATTTTGCCATGCAGTGTTAATAACAACCCTGAAATTGACACAGAATTGCAACTAAACTTAACCTACACCGACAACAATTCCGCCTAAATAACAAGCTAGTTGGAGTCGGTTGTATGAATCCTCTATATCCATTCACTCGTTGTGACTAAAGTTAGCCAGGAAATGAACTTTAACTTTGTATGCTCACTGGCAACTACTTGCTCAGTATTCGGATTCTCAAACCTCAAAGACAAATCTTCAAAGCAACCCAAGATATTGAAGCTATTTCAAGCAGCATCCATACTAGTTAGTTGTCAATTTTTTGAAACACTTACCTTTCTTCTGACTCCTAATTTCCTAGGTCAGTGGTGTGACAAGTAATAATAATCCACATGCTACAGTTCTAACTTCAAAGATCCCACTCCAGTTTTAGGACTTGACAATCTAAATAGAAAATTAAAGGATTAGCCAGAAATAGCACCTCTTTAACGCAACAGATTGGTCCAAAGGGCGGGTCACAGACGAATTTCTCGGTTATAAAAAAAAAAAAAAAAAACAGAGGCTACCGTCCCAATACTCAGTGCAGAAGCCTTTGTGCAGTAGGACCAGTATGAGTAAA